TTTCACTCAAGCCGCCGTACTCCGTCAACACAGATAACGCTCCAAACTATATAAAAGTAGTAAACTGTTTGACTTTGTAGAGGAGCGGCGCTAAGAGAAAACTACTTGGAATCAATTCCGAGCAGGTCAAACAAAGGCAAAGTTTGTAAGTGAACAGAGTCGCGGGCAGCGACTAGTGCGGCACCTTGTTAACAATTATTTGATTTGTGTCTGCTGAGCACGCATTGTGCGGCTGTTTGCCAGGGAAATTGTTCATTGATGTTGTTTGTACTGTAAATTAAGTTCATGCAAATAATGGTTACAAAAGCTATTGTCCGAGCTCGTCGACGTCACTCGTGACACGCTGAGCGTGGCCACCAAATTAAATGGATGCAATTATAGCGCAGCGGCCATCTTCAACCGGAAAGCAGGAACACGCTCGATCTGTACGAATAAATCACTAATTAATATTTTATTGAATCCGGTTATCGCTCACCAGTCAACATAATTATATACATCTCAGTTCACACCAAGAGCAACGAATATTAAAAGTGAGCCCTGTAGCAGAAACCAAAGCTGCAATATATGTACTGAGCCATGGTTACAGCGAACTATTCAATAAATCAAAATAAAAATGAATGAAACTGATTTGTAAAGGAATTGCGATGTTAATGCAAATGACTGAATGACCATTGGCCATCGGCTTCGTAATTAATGGCCAGTCGGAAAAGCAATAATATTTTATTAAGCATTCTCTTTGATTAAGCCGCCCGAGGGAGCACCCGGCCATGCGGGAGTATAAGAAATATATCCTGATGTATACGCGACCGCAGACTGGGTACGAAGTGCCAGCGCACCACTCGGATTAATTATCATGAAACTAATTATTACTAATCTAAAAAAGCATATATTATTTTTATTATAATAATGAAACCTAAACTGAGTTATGGATAATTTCAGAGCCGTGCGTTTCGCTTCAATAACTTAGATAAAGATGTATTGTTAGGTATCAGAAGGAGGCGCCAAGTTTGATCGTTTCTGTCTTGCGTGGGTGATTTCAGTTATTCTTCATATTTAAAAACCTTTATCGAGAGAGAGAGATTACTCTCTCTTTCTCGATAAAGGTCTATTTACACTTTGAGAAGATTTGTCCTAATTTATAAACATATGCTGCGACCATCATTTATAACGTTTCCTATTTATTTTCCGGGAGTTTAGAGGTTCAGAACTGCCGACCTGCAGTACTAGGATGGACACGACTTGTATATGAGTATTATTTGCCAACAATATTAAGTGTGAAATAATCCTTGATGTTGGTCCATAGCATAAAACGGCGTCTTACATCCATCAACGTTATTGGGTTACTAAAATAGTTAATAATACGAGGGCAATATTTGCTGCTCAACTTTATGAAGCAAAGTCAACACAACGAGGGTACTGCTTCATTCAAATATTCATAGCAGTCTTCGGCTGTAGCTATTTGGTCCTAAGCACACTGTAATAGGTACTAAAATAGCTGTGTACACAGTGGCATGTTCGGGAAACAATGTCTTTGGTTTGGTTGGTGTACTGACCACGGCAGGCCCCGGTCCCTCGGCAGTGTTGTGTGGCCGCCATGTTGGATTGTTTGCTAGACTCACCTTTACACACCACCTCTAATGAGTGTACACTCACACGTGGTTACCACGCGGCACTCCACGCCGAAGGATAACTTGTTTAAGCCAATACTGGGTATCCATGAGGATTAACATCATGCTCTCTTTGACTTTGACTTTGACTTTATTAATATTCAAAAAGGTATTTGCGTACCTTTTGAAGTAATTACAACTTTTTAGTGTCATCGAGTGTTTCATACCATAGCACAGCGATTACAGACCTTCTGTAGGGTCAGTGGTTAGTGAAGGACGGCCAGCACGGTAAGGCGACCGGCAGCCTTTGCTAACAGGAATGTTATAATTGAACAATCCGCACGCGGCCACACTCACTAGCTCTCAGGTTCACAACCAACAACGGACCGCGTGAATAATGTCAACGTGGTTGAGGTAATCTTGGAATCCAAGCAGGTGATGTACCAGCTCGTGGAGTAAAGCCAATCAGATTTATTGTTCGTTCTCAAGCAAAGCAAGCAATGAGATTCGAGAATTTTCTTGAAATCGGCTGCCGAAATAGAAACATTATTTGATTGAGAAATATATTTTGTACGTCGTCTTTTAACGTAATAAATTGGTCCCGACCAAATATTGCCACGCTCCAATGAGATCAGAACAACAAAGAGCTCGTATATTATTGTTCAGAGTACATATCGTAATAAATCACGTGGTACATTATAAAGATAAGCAGGAGAACAGGAGTACCTACAGGATCCCGGGCAGCCCACGCAGTCATCTAATATTCCGACGAGGGTGAGAGCTGCAACACACCGCTGCGTGCTTCGGAGTCATAGTTTACAAACATACAAATTCCCATACACAAGACCACCACCATACCACCTAGACCCGAAATGAAAATTTGTGGATCGCACAAAGTGTGGTTCCGTGCGGGCATCGAACCCGCGCACCTTGCACAGTAGCTAGTTACCTGCGCCAACCGTGCAGTGGCAGGGCATTGAGTCAGCCGTCGTAAAAGAATAACATGCAAGCTACTACGCAAAAAGCGATTCGTAAATGAACCAAATACAACACCATTCTACGTATCAGGTTGCCAAGCATAATTCAATAAATCGCGTATCACGTCCCGAAGCAGTGTGGCAACATGACAACACAAATGTGACACTGTCGGCACCTCACTAAACACAACATGAACACATCACCCCACTTAGGGAGCAACCATCGAGTACCCTTGTCAGCAGGCGACGTGACGTCACGTCACAGATAACGTGACGACGATATCCACGTCAATACGAGCACAATGCGGACTAAATCTGTGCTCTGTGTGTCGCCGGCTTTCTTTTAATAAGTTCTCGAGGCAGCCCCTGGAGCTTTGTCGAAGACCGTCAGTAGCTCAATGCCGGGGGTTCGCTCTGGCACTGGACATCGTCATAGAAATATTTTGAAAGAATTCGCATAAAATGGAATTGTAGGTAGCAATCATTATAAAATAAGGTCAAGTTAATAAACGACGAACGTCTGAAGCGAGCACTCGAAGATATACTTGACTTCCATTGAGCGGAATGTGGCCAGCAGACACCCGGGGCGGCTCGATACTTGCACGGCTACACGACACAGATATGTTGGTTTATCTGCGAGTAAAGTACCTACTTACTAAGTTGTTAGTGCATTTTATCTTTGACAAAATTTTGTGAAGTCATCACGTCGGAACGTATCAGATATACTGTAAGCTATCTATACAGCTCGCTATGTGATGATACGCACGCACTGCCATGTACTGACACTATCTGCTCGGTTTAAACATAGGTTCACATTAAACGAGATAAATCTACACGATTGCAAATAAAAAAAGGTGTGTCACACTATCGACATGCAAACAGAATTACTAAACGATAATTCGTTACTGTGAACAGTAAAAGTAAAGCGACCAAAGACGCAATATTAAAGTCCTGTTAGTAAAGAAACCACTTGTCGCAAATACCTACCCACGTAGAAAAACTCGACGACGCGACGTTACGAACGCTATTTATGTCAAAGGCTTTCACTGAATAATCCGACAAAGATGTAAAAACATTGGGCCGCAGCTGGCCGCGACCTGTGCAAGGCGGCGCCGGTGGACATCTTTGCTCATTGTTTTTACAAGGAAAGAATAGCGAAGAGTTTCCATCTCGCGTGTTTCCATATGCGCACTGAGGATAATATTGTTACTGTTTGCTTAGGTCTCGAGATATGTCAGAAAAAACTTACCTCTTCTCTGTGAGATAAATTGGGTGCCTGGCTGAATGATACTTTTACGTACAACTTTCAATCTTGCTTCAAATATTATTGTAATAATCTTTTTCGATTCCCTTTGATTGTGTCTGTCCGTCCCGAAAAGGGATCAAGTCCAAGAATATTAATCTTATCAACAATGCCACGTAAAAAGGTCATGTTAATACATTATGCGCAAGTATTGGAACTACGCCACGATTCTACAAGAACGGGCCAATCGATGAAGAAAAAGCAATCTCATATCGATAACAACAGGCAGGTCGAATGATCCGATACAATTTACTAAAGCTCCACTTAATGTAATTAATAATCCGTCAACCGCTATCGGAGAGCCACTCTGTCATGTAAATATTGCAATCTACGGATGCTTGCTGGCCACTGAAAAGGCTTCCTGCCAACTCACGGAATAAGTGCAGGAAAACACTTACAATTCGCTTTTACGACTATAAGGAAGACAATAATGGTAAAAGCTGTCAGCTCTGAGGTCCAATTGAACGCATTACGGAGTTTTTACGTACGCCCCGAGCAGTAACCAGATCGGGATCCAGTATAAAGGCCAAATCTACGAATTTTGTGAACGATCGGCCCGTCGTCGCCGTCGCTCCCAAACGGACGCTTTTCAATTAAGCGAGGATAAAGAGGCCGATTTTCTGACGTGATTCTGAGAGCAGCTCTGTTATATTTAATGAAATATTTTCAAAGATACGTACAATAAGAATATAGGATTCGTTTCACCGAAACGTTTGCTGTAATTGTTTCAACAAATTTCCAAGTCCATTGTTGTGTAATTCCGCTGAGATTCTTTGCTTTAGAAGTGAAATCTGTGGAGTCGCCCCAGGACACGAAACATAACAAGGCGCAATTACTACAAACATAACGTACATTTATTACATCAACAGCGAGTCCCACGCAGCCGACTGCTTTAATGTTGTGTTGTATTCTAGCGCCGAAACTTTCATAATTATAATTCTTTGAAGTCACTTACGATACGTCGCGCGGATATTGTCTCGACACAACTCGTCATTACTCCACGCATTTACTGTGCGAGCCGACACACGTAAACACGTTCTAGGAAGAGACGGTTTTACAACGTGTTTTGTAATATTTTCATGATGTGCTTCATTAAAATGGTCAGCTACTTACAGCAGTGGGGCTTCTCTTGGTCTTGCTGGATGAGAAGTGTTCAATCACTTCCCAGTTGGATTTCTTGGGCGCAGGAGTGTCAGCGGGCGATGGCGAGGCGCGGTGCGCGGCAGAAGGAGTACTGCGCCCAGAATCCTCCTGCCCGCGCGCCGGCGTCGCGGCAGAACGCAGAGACGCGCATCTGCGCCCGCGCAGCGCCTCCTGTATGAAAAAATATCGGTTAGTGAAGAATACATTCAAAATAGGAAAAGGGTGTTGTTCTATCAGTTTTTCGGGACCGGTTAAGTATAATTGACGTATTTCCAAAACTCTCGTCGTCGTGAGAACTGAAGGTTCGATATTCCGTGGTAGTTTCCGTGACTTGCAAAAAACATCCTGAAGTGAGTTCACAAGATAACAATTATTTTAAATTTCTTCATAACTACTGGAATTCCACATTAATGATATTTTGTTTGTGTTTTTGTCTGTCCTCATACTGATAATTATACAAAGCTGACAACTTGTTGTTGATTGTCGTAAGTCGTAGTGGTAGTAGTTAGATGAACATGTTGTTGTTGTTTCTTACAATATAATGTATGTCGGTTGCCACTTAATCAAGTTGCTGTTTACGGGTAATTGTCTTTTACGTTATGTTACCTTGGAAACAGGGGTAGGCAGTAGGCAGGTCGTACCAGATACTGAGTCGTTAGCTTTCAACTAGAGGCATGGTGTGTGAACTACACGTAGTATGCGTGTGATGTATTGTTATTATTGGAAGGCTGCTTGTTACTTCAAATAGTTTCTTTTAATTACTTTGAATAATAAACACACATTCTATAATAACTTAAATATGATGATTTTCCATAGAAGCCAGCGGAAAATGGATGGTATATATGGGCGTTGTGGGCTGACCAGCCCTGCCTTAGTTGGCAACACAACAAACACCAAAGTTTGTGCAATAAGTTGTAGCTGCAGCTCGTGCTGCTAGTGAAGTATGCTCCACCTGGAGCCAAACTAACAACTTTACGTCACTAGATACGAGATTTTTGAAACTATTTATTGTTTCAAAGGAAAACTTGTTGTGTGGAACATCCAACGAGTTTGTCTGGAACTTATCGTTTATACAATGGCTGCGAATGTTGCGATCAGTTTTTAATTCTCTATTTTGGGTTTAATGTGGAGGAGCAACCTCCAGGCCGGCGCACAACATGGCCGGGCCACGCTCGATCCATCAACGTTATTCGTCCTCTTCAATTGAACGCATCAAACTGCGCCATACATTTTCATCAGGTGGTGAGTGCCTCTAGAAAACTGTGCTGTTCACGAATCCATTACTGGCTGCATAACCTAACCCGGGTGCACATTAACGGGAAGATGGCGGATATCCAACGGTTACGGAGCTTGCGGATCATAAAATTTAATGCTACGAGTGTGATCCGGGCCTTTGTTTGCATGCTGAGTGGCGGCTGGGGAATACGTTAGTGTTTACTGAACTACTGTACTTAGATGTGATTACTTTAATATTGTCATAAATTACGCAAAACTTGGTTTATACGGAAATCAGTGCTTTTATAATCAATATTTGCATCGTAATTCTTGTACGGGAAAACTTTGTGAATAGGTTAGAAGTATGTTTACGTGAATATTTTCATAAGAGGGGCGTGTGAGGAATGGAGGTAGAAGCGGCGGGAGGTGGGGGGGAGTATTGTTCAGATTGACTGGTGCTCGTGATAGATGACGCGATCACTCAACGTCAACACAATTAAACAATGTTTCGCGTTCGTTACAACCGCATCGCTTTTTACTTTCTTTGCGAAATACAAGTTGACGATGAAAATATTGGACGTTACGTACCCTGCCGGTCGTAATATGTTACTGTCAAGCCTCTTCACTTGTATGTATGAGGGTATAGGCAGCAGTGTCCTGGTATTCATAATATTACTGACCAATCAAACGTTAAAGATGAGATAAATGAAACGTAAAATACTTATTTTCGCAAACTAGATCGAGTTCCTGCATTAAATTTACTTGTGCGAACTCAATTTGAATGTGATAGTGTTATTATCAATAGAGTAGCAGTTACTGTAAAGCGTACGATAAGCTAAAGCAAAGTGTTAAAGTGGAGAATCGCGGAAAATTACACTAATAACTAGGGGACTTACAACCGTAAGCCTCGGAGTTACGGCTTAAGCCGAGTGGCGCGTGACACGGCGGCAGGCGGGCGTCACTACTTGGGTGTTGGGAGACTACTAGCGCGGCATCACCATGCTGACACATTCAGCATCTACACTCCGCTACAACACTAGCTAGTTTTATTAATCCACAAACTAAACTCATCAGTAAACACGTCAACTTCGGGCAATACTCAAATACTTTATTTAAAAAACACTTTTGGAGCGTTATTTTCATTAAATTTTCATGTTGTGTGTCAATCATTTTCATAAAAATAAAATCCCTTTTCAAATTTGTTCGCAGTGCTTAGTATTATTATATTGTATGGTTGGAATTCAAAAATGTAGATATTATCACCGGGAATATTACATTTGATAGAGAATCGAACCTCTCTCGAGGACGAGCGCTACACGAGCCACGACGGTCGAATGCTTCAATTATTCAAATTGTATAAACTTCTTTATTTTTAGAATGAAATCGAAATAAAAATTGTACAATTTGATAACAAACCCACCGCGGTTCTGTTAATTACAATCTCGTGAACAGTTTATCTTGAATTCGAATATTCGTTTGATTGAACGCTTCAGTTTCTCTCTCATACAAAAATATATCTCGCTTTTAAAAACATAAATATGTTTTGTCGGAGCGCGAAACGTGTTCGTGTAATGAGTAAAGTTGAATGAAAGAAAAATAGTGTAGTGTTCCAGCCGGGGGACGCTCGCAGCTGTTATTGCAGGCAGACCGGCAGCCCGCGGTCTGTGACCTACGTATGCCGTGATACTGGTAGTCTCCCGAGCCTGAGTGGGTATAACACAATATAAATAACGTGCACCGCGAGTCCAACAATATATGCAAACTGATATATATTATGTGAGTGATACTTGTACTGCGGGACTGCGTTTGTCAAGTGAGTGGTACAATATTATACTTTATCCGTAACATAGTAAAATCCAAAATACAATAGTAAAGATTTTATCAAAGCTGAGGCGGAAACTCAGAAAAGATACTAATCTGATGAGTCTCTATGCCTATGACACAAAATATTCACTACTTATACTTTCACTTATGAAAACATTGACAGTTACTTTAGTTATGTGTATAAATATTCATCATTCAGTACAATCTGATGGTATGTAGGAATGTACACTTTGGAACAAGAACGAGCAAATAACTTCACTAGAAAGACCAACAGACTAATACCTCTTGACTTTTGGTATTTAATTATTTGTTTGATGGTCAAAAGCCTACTTGAAATAAATGATTTGACTTTTGATTTGTCTTCAAAATATGAAATTTTACTCAAATGAAATTGGACGTGGACTTATTCACAAACAAGCGAGAATTGCTTTCTGCAGTCTGAACCACCCACCGCGTTGTGTGAGCTTATCAATGCTATAATAATATAGTATACGTAATCACTTAATATGCATATTAGATTGTGTTCTATCAGGAAAATGTACAGCCAATTTGTTCGGTTGACAATAGGTTAGTGGTAGATAAATATGATAATTTACTTTATTTTGCATCTGAAACATTGTATTTAGATCGAACATTAACACCTTGGTTGATTGTTCCAATGATGGATAGATATAAAGAAGGATGGTACTGTTCCGAAATCCGAACCAGTACTTAATCGCAGGTAATAAACAAGTAATGAATTGGTGGCATGATATTTCGCCGTTCGACCGATGCACGCGCTGATCTCATTATGACATGTGCTCGCTCGGCTGGAAACTAATTCACTTGTCCGTGCTATCTGTGACCCAAAAATGATGAGGCACTACGATTTCGGACAGAACCCTAATCGAGTTATGTCTGATTCCTGATACTCGCAACCCCTCAAATATGCGCTCTAATTGCCCAATGCAGCTATCATCGCGTGCGACTTTGTCCAGAAATTGGGGAAGCGGATTTATCGTTGCATATCTTGCTAAAACGGGGGTCAGCACAACTCAATCACCTGAAATTTTATTCAATCCCAAATTGAAATAGCGATACAACTTGAAAAGTTCTGTGTTGATTTTTGTTCATTCCTCAATTGTGACTAAGAACTGAGGCTGTAGGTAAATCCCCGGTAATTTGATTTCCGCTAATAGATGGTAAAATTGCTTACACCGGTTAATTGAACACGTCCGACATCATTGGCAATTTAAGGAAAGAGATCTTACAGTATGACGACACTCCCGGAGTGACTGGTCAATTGAACAGCCCAGGATCGAGTTTACCAGATAGACTTGTTGCAATGGTAAATATTTCTGATTAGCTGTATCTCTTATTACGTGCACACACATTCAGAGAGTCGCAGGCGTTTTGTTGCACAAATTACTGTTTGATCGGGTTTTATGACAGCCGGGTCGTTTGATGTTTCGATTATACACAGAATTGTAACTTTATTATTTGTTCACGGTGGGAACATCCAAAGATCCGACCGGTGGAAAAGGAATGAAACGAAAAGCTATTTTAAAGAAAATATGTACTTTGGAATAATCCTTGAAAAAAGACCAAACTCCGTCCAGCGAACACGATTTAGATGAAAAAAACATTTCTAATTTACTTGAAACCTAATTTGATGCGTTGACTCGACGTGATAACTTGTAAACTGACAAAACAAAAATGGGATTGTACGACATTACCCCATTCGAAGTTTTTACGCGGCGAGGTGTGCGGAAACTTTTGAATTACAACCCCTAGCCGAACAGTTTGACATCACGTTGACGCTTTGCTTCTCAGTTGAAAGAAAATGACTTCCGTCCTCAATAAATTAATTAATTAACGGATTCAAAGGTTTCTTTAATCACATTTTGATTATTGCCGGAATGTTTGATGGGAAAGTTGAGGAAAGTTTAAAGATCACGACATCGGTTACTACTTGTTCAATGAACAATGAGGCTGCATCATTGATTAGTTTTCGAAATGTTGGAGTTTTGAGTTAGAATTCCAACAGTCGCGGTGACCACAAGACCTCGTGGTGGTGGCGGCTGCCGGCATCCACCCGCCGCCAGCTTTCCGAAAGCATAGCGATGGCGAAGGCACATCACATTTGTTTCAAA